TGTCTACTCATTGTTTCTTCTTCCTCCCCAATAATGTCTAGTCTTCCAAAACATGTTATGTGCCATCATTACACTCAAGTTTCTTGTTCCTATTTTTCCTGCTGCATATAGATGTAGGGCCTTTGCAGACTGCCAGAAATAGTGCAAATTGAGTCTACTTTAAGGGTTAGGGTTAGGGTTAGGGAATCATGGGAACTGTATTTTATTGTGGCACCAGAGCTCTCTGACAGAGAAGCCTCAGTGTCTCAGGAAAAAAAACCAATTCCCATGACTCCCTAGCACTAATCCCAACTCTAAAAGTGGACTCAGTTTGCACTATTTCTGGCAGTCTGCAAAGACCCTATGTAGTTAAACTCCAACAAGGTAACATCAAAGGAGTGTTTAGACACCTCCTCCTCACATTCACTGAAAGTGTACAGAAGGTTGGATCATGACAGTTAATTGTAGCTACAATCCCAGTTGGGCACAGTCCCTGATACCTTTGCATTTAGACTGGGGGATTCTGTGAAATTTAGACCACCTTTCTGATTAGAATATGGCTATGTACTCTACATGAGATTGCCCATGAAGATGACTTTGTAGCTGCAACTGGAGGGGAACCATCTGTGAACTGTATGTCAGCAGTTTTGAAGGAATTGCACTGGATGTCATTATGCTTAAGGACTGAATTCAAGGTGCTGGTAATGACATTTAAAGTCCTAAATGGCTTGGGACTTCAATAGTTGAAGGAGCACCTCTCCTTATGTACAACTGCTCAAGAATTGAGGTCTGCGGATTGAGGTCCATTGGAGGCTTCAGTACCAAGTTATAAGAATACTTTTTTATTAATACATTTCAGGTATAATGATTTTATACCATATCTGTACATGTGTATGGTTTTAAATGGTTCTAATCTCCTTGAAATTCTTAGCTGTATTTAAGAATGCTTAAATAATTTTACTGTTTAAATTGTTTTAAGTTGATTTTGTTGTAACACTGCCCTGAGATCTTTTGATATATGGTCAGTTGCAGATATTTAAATGAATAACTTTCCTAAGTTCTGCCTGCCCACACAGATTAATCTGCATACTTCCCCTTCATGATAATGCTGAATGTGTGGTGGTCAGAGGTACATTGGCATCAAGTGGATGTGAGTGTCTGTTCCATGTATTTGCTGAACATTAGAGGAGTTTTGTCTGAGTGGCTCTTAAATCCTACATTTTAGGTTGATAAGTGTTACTTTGCAGAGATGAGAGAAGAGGATGGAATGAGGTTCAGGGCTTACTCTTTCAGCCAGAAACATGGGGCTTCAATAAAATTCTATCTCTGTGTGTACTTTACTCCTGGGCAATACTTCACTCCATGCATCTGAGGAAGTAGACCAAGTCTACGAAAGCTTATGCTACAACTTCTTCTTCTTCTTAAAGGTGCTACAAGATCCCTTTGCATAATGTATTTATGTTGGTATTTTGCAGCATTCATTGTTTTTAATCTTGGTGACACCACAGTAAATGTTACAAAACCATACCATGATTGGGAAGATGCATAGATTGGGCTCTGTATGATTCATGCACAAAATGCTGGAAGCAACTTAGTATACTGAAGTCTAATATAGGAATTAATACTTGTGTACATCTTCCCACATGGTATTTTTAGTGACATCCAAGAAGAGAATGGGAAAATCATAATTTGAGCCATGTTATCAGACAGTAAGCTCTGCAAAAATAAATAAATAAATAAATAAAAATTTAAAAAAATGCCCAGGGCAAATATGGAAAATGTTTGTTTTCTTCTAGGGTGAGTTGCAGACTGAAATTAAATTTGAGTTGGCAGTTTCCTTTCTTGACATGCCAGTGTGTTTGTTCTCTTAGCATTGCCCTGCCTCCCTGTAAATCAGACATTCTTCCCTGGTTGCATCAGGTTACTACTGACATGATTAATGCTGGGAGGTTTTGGAGGGATGACGTAGTGGCTCATGGAAAGTTTACCTGAGAATTATCTCTTGCAATCCACTGTTTAGTGTCTAAGTAATGTGCTGAAGGCCTGCCATCCACTGTTCTTCTACAGGGTACTATGGTCACACTTACCTCACCCTATGTATTTTTCCTCCTTTTCATGCCAGATCTGATTACGAGTAGTTTTGTTTCAAGCCCTATATTTATGAAACATTACACATATTTAGTACTGATAAGTGAACTGTGTTAGGAACTAGAAAGGCACCAGTGGTTAAAACAGTACTGGAAACTTGTCTCTGCTGAGAGTTCTTTGTTTGTAAATTAATTTTGGTTTCATCGATTTTCTTTTAAAATCATCACTATCTTTGCTAGGAACTGCAGAAAAGGATGTTGTACATGATAGAAAAGACTATGGGGGAGCAAGATTTTTTCTGCCAAAGAGATAGGCTGCTGTTTCTGTTTTTAAGTGAGTTGTCTGTTCAGCAACATGAATGGTTGAAGTGGGAGGGGAAAGCCCCAAGTTAAACTCTGGCCACATGCAGTTGTTGTTTGTGCGCCTCCAAGTCATTTTTTACTTATGGTGAACCTAAGGTGAACTTATGATAGGGTTTTCTTGGCAAGTTTCTTCAGAGGGGTTTATCATTGCCATCCTCAGGTTGAGAAAGTGTGACTTGCCTAAGGTCACCCAATGGGTTTTTATGCTTGAGCAGGGAATCGATCCCTGATCTCCAGAGTTGTAGTCCAGTGCTCAAACCACTACACCATATTGGCTTTCCTAGCCAGATGAATGTATTCATGATTGATGAACGGGCTTCAAAGACTTCTCCATTCATAGATTCCCGATCATACAGTGTGGCACCATCCATTAGTTTGTATTGTAGTCTGTAAAATTCCTAAAACTTTGCCAGCATCTGAGGCAGCAGTGAGGTGTTGGTTATGCCTAGACTCTTTACATAGCCAAATGCTTGATTGCATGTCATCATTATCCTGAGCAATACCAAGTAAATTTCCTAGTAACTTTTAAAGCTCTTTTCAAAATGTTTTTGAGTTTCTCTTATCTAATAACAACTTGAGTTTCTCTTATCTAATAACAAGGTATATTTAAGGAAAGATTTGCCTGATAAGAGAAAATTGAAAGTGTTTTGAGAAGAGCTTTAAAAGTTACTAGGAAGCTCAGAAGTTACATTATTTAACTGAATGTTATCCAACGCTGACTTTGTATTAACGGAAGGTGCTCCTGCTCATGGAAATCAGGGTGTCCAACTTTCATCCACACACCACCCCATACATCTATTTCAACTTTTCTGTGACATAAACCACCACAGAAGCATTTTCAGGAATGGCTGGAGATCCTTAAGCAGTTAAGCAGGGGAGTGGTTGATGAAAAATGGGTGTTCCACCTTGCCACTGTGGTTCTGGAAAGGGGAAACCATAGTTGGATAAAAGCTTATTGTGTTGGATCAAGACTTAACCATGACCAGAATAGACCCAATAGAAATCTACAATCTCTTATGTTCTGGATGAATAAATGCTTCCTTTTGTTTATTGAACTCAGTGCCAATCAATTTAATTGGATGTCTCCATGTTCCAGTATTTTGAGACTGAGAAAAATATATAATTTCTCTCTCTTGAGACAGTTATATTCCAATTCCTCTAAAATAATAAATCATAAAATTTCTGTCATAAAATTTCTATTTAAGAAACCTGTTCTGCACTGCACCACCATAGACAACTATAAGCCAGTCTTCAATTTCACCTTTTAAAGTGAGGTCTTAGCCTGAGCAGTGGCGCTCACCAGGCTTTCTTGGATAAAGTTAATTACTTAGATCTGTTCCAACCTCAGATTGTGCCTGTTCTTTGGACAAACACAACCTTGGTTGTCTTGATGGAACTGCACAGATAAATGCAGTCGTCCCTCCACATTTTGACTTTGACTTTTGCGGATTTGATTAGTCACGGATTTTATTCGTATGTTCTCTGTAGGAATGTCTAGGACCTCCAGCACAATTCTATGGTTAACATTAACCAAAAGTTTCACTGAAAGACCTAGAGATTCCTAAAGAGAACACTCCACTAGGTATTTGTAGCTCCTCCAGTGCAATTCTATGGTCAATGGCTGGCTGATGTTGACCACAGAGTTTCACTGGAGGACCTAGAGATTCCTTGAGAGGTATTCTCTCAGGTAAAAAAGACAGTGTTTTTGGTATTTGCAGTTTTTCCACATTCACAGGGGTCCTGTGCCCCTAACCCCAGTAAATGTGAAGGGATGAGTGTATTCTGCTTGACCTTTCAACAGCATTTGTTTCTGTGTCACTTGGCTCATATAAGAACTGGGAACTCCATTTTGTGGTAGTTCCAGCCTTGGGAGAAAGTGGAAGTCCTGATTTGCTGTTTAGTTACACTGAGCAGTTGGATATGGGTGAATAAACTGAAGCTCAGTCCATAAGAGACTAAAGTTCTCTTGGCCAGCAGAAAGGCTAGCCTGTGTTTGTGACTGCAGCCTTTTCTGGATAGAGATGTATTCACAGAAAGAACAGATTCACAGTGTGGTGATGTTCTTCCATTCATAGTTTCTTCTGGAATCACTCATCACTCTATGGTTTTTGGGTTTTTAAAAAAATCTAAATATATATACAAAGACAGAGAGAGAGAGAGACACCCTCTTCTATGTTTCCAATATTATACATTTTCCTCATTCCTCTTAATATATTTTATAAATTTTCCTCATTCTTATTAACAAATTTTATCCTGTGTTCAGAACATTTAATCCGATCTCTTTCCCCTGTGAAAGATATTCAGATTGCCTGATCACTTTTATCAGTTCATCCAGCTCTGGGATTTTTTGTTTTATTATCAGTCTCTTTTGCAGTTATTCCTAACTTCAAATTTGCCTTTTTCAATTAACTTTCTGCTATGATTATAAGATCTTTTTTTCAGAAATCTCTGTCCACCATAGAAGGTTTTGTTTGTTCGTAATTTATTCCAAATTTCTGCTTCCGATTTTACAACCATTTTCTGATCCACAAGGGATCTAGTCTCTCATGCTTTCCCTTACTGATTCCGCTCCCCCCCCCAGAAATCCTTATGGATAATATTTTTACTTTTACCCTTTGTCAGAAAATATTATCCATAAGGATTTCTTGTGGGGGGGGGGGCGGAATTAGTAAGGGACAACCATAAACAATCCTTAGCAATAAGTAAAACAAAACAAAAGTACACCATGGTTTACTTTTCTGTTATTTTTTATTCTTTTATTCTTTTAATTAGATTTGCCTCAAAATAGATAACTGGAATAAAAAGGAAATGGAGGAAATCAGTATATAGTTGGATAATTTTAAAGTATTTTAAAATGTATTGGCTAATTCACATATCATTATAAGCCTGGGTTTTAAAGTAACCCCCTTTTTATTGTTCTTAAGTAGTATGTTGGTGCATACTACCAGTTGCTCCCACTACAAACAAGAATGGATAAACAAAGTGTGGAGCTTTGTTTAATGTGGCATCC